TTTGTGTTAACTTTGAAACCCCTCTCAACCAATCAAATTCATTCATTATTGTAGGTTGATGTCTTGTTAACTTTTTATTTCCAAGGTTATTTTAGTAATTTGGTTACATATGTAACCCCCAAACAATTAATGGGGGGTTACAAGAAATCATATCCCAAAAAATAATCATTAATTTAATTAATATCTTTCTTGTTAGTATTCATCATCCATGTTCATTATTGTATGAGGTTACAAAAAATCATATCCCAAAAAATAATCATTCATTTAAGTAATATCTTCCCATTTAGTATTCACCTTATATGTTCACCACTGTATGAGTTTCAAATCACATAAGGAACACGGTAGTATTGATATTCGGCGTCGATCAAGCTAATATGGATAAACGTAAAGGAAAAGAAATCGACAACATCGCGGCGATTACAATGGTTTTTGAAGACAATCCGAGTTCGAGGTCAGGAAATCATGAAATCAACCAAACCGAATATCTTGGTAATAGATTTTTATTTCTTTTAGATTCATATTGATCGAAAGTACGTTAATTACGATGTGTTGTGTTTTTTATTGTTCATCTCATATGATTTATATGATATTATATCACCATGGTGCATTTTCATCTCATGTATAAAAAACGTTAAATACGAGTGGTCAACTAATTATAAGATGCATTTATGTTTATATCTTGTTCACGTAAAGGAAAAGAAATCAACAACACCGCGGAGATTACAATGGTTTATGAAGACAATCCGAGTTCGAGGTCGGGAAATCATGAAATCAACCAAACCGAATGTCTTGGTAATAGATTTTTAATTTTTTTAGATTCATATTGATCGAAAGTACGTTCATTACAATGTGTTGTGTTTTTTATTGTTAATCTCATATTATTTATATGATATTTCTATCACAATGGTGCATTTTCATATCACGTATAAAAATCGTTAACTACGATGGGTCAACGAATTATAAAATGCATTTATGTTTATATCTTGTTCACGTAAAGGAAATGAAATCAACAACACCGCGGAGATTGCAATGGTTTATGAAGACAACCCGAGTTCGAGGTTGGGAAATCATGAAATCAACCAAACCGAATGTCTTGGTAATATATTTTTTAATTTTTTTATATTTATATTGATCGATAGTACGTTCACTTATGATGTGTTGTGTTTTTTTTTTTTGTTCATCTCATATTATTTTCTATGATATTCTCTCACCATGGTGCATTTTAATCTAATGTATAAAAAATCGTTAATTACGAGTGGTTAACTAATTATATAATGCATATATGTTTATCTTGTACACGTTCATGATTAATTACGAGTGGTTAACTAATTATTAACTAATTATATAATGCATGTATGTTTATTTGGTACTGTCAAGATACATGTTTATATACATGGCTATTGTTCACGTTCATGWTTTGTGCATGTGCATGYACATAGATTCGGTGTTCTTGTTCACGTTCATGAMCATGTTCATATATGTATGTTATGTTTACCACTCGTTCATGTTCATGTTATGTATGTTATGTTCACGTTCGTTCACGTTCATGTTCATATATGTATGTTATGTTTACCATTCGTTCATGGTATTTTTTTTTAAAATTTTTCACCAAATTTTTTTATTTGCGTTTTTTCCATAGAGTATTCCAAGTGTTTGTAATTGTTCATATTATTGGGGTGGTTAATTGCATATCTTAATGTGTTGACGTTCGTTCACGTTCATGTTCATATATGTATGTTATGTTTACCATTCGTTCATGGWATTTTTTTTAAACTTTTACAACAAATTTTTTTAWTTGCGTTTTTTCCATCGTGTGTTCCAAATGTTTGTAATTGTTCATATTATTGGGGTGGTTAATTGCATATCTTAATGTGTTGATATACGTCATACAATTACATCATTCCAAATTTTTYCATGACATTAGAGTGTGTACATTTTAACATGTTATCCTGCAATTTTACGATAATCATAATCATCGTCCAATTGTTCGACGATGTGTGTTCATTGAACAAGAGATCAACAATGATAATTGATGTTACAAGATATTATTGKGTCAACAGGTGTTCCTATTCTTACAATATCAGAACATGAACCGGAGTACGATGTTGAGGAGTGTTCACAAGGAAATCAGTTTTTTATCCCCAAGGTTGATGATGAGCTTAAACCAAAGATCAACTCACACTTCTTAACTATAAACGACGCGGAAAAGATGTATAGGGCATATGCGGACAATGCTGGTTTCGATGTTCGTCTGCATGCCAAAAAAACAAACAAGAACGGGGTCATACAAACAAGATGGTTTGTATGTAATAGGGAGGGAACACCAAACAAAAAGTTTTTTGATTCCATGGATATTCAGTCTGGTGAAAGGAGATACCGTAACACGAACCTTAAACGTTGTGGATGTTTAGCATGCATAAAAATMCATTTGAAAAAGGATAAGTCCGRTTACGAAATATATGARTTTGTCGAGGCACATAATCATGCGCTATTCAATACTAACGATCGACGTTTCTCAAGGAAAAATAGACAGATGAAGTATACGGATTTCAAAAATGTCTTGAATAGCTCAAGCTACAAAGTCGGTGCGATCAGGGCTCACCGTATACAAACGGCATTGAATGGTGGGTTTGAGCACAATCGGTGTTCTGAGATCGACTTTAAGAATTTCAAGAGAGATGCAGTTGCATGTGTTGGGAAAAAGGATGCGAAGATGTTGATCAATAAACTATCCAATAGGCGAGATATTGTTCCCGGGTATTTTTTCGAGTACAAGTGCAATGATCAGGAGTTGKGTGCCATTTTCTGGGCAGATGAGATCGCTAGAGTTAACTACAAAGAGTTTGGGGATGTAATTTCTTTCGACGGGACGTTTCGCACCAACAAGTAAGATTTTCAAGTTAAATCAGATTTTTTGATGTTTTGTACTCTGGTATTTTTCTATAACTTTTATTTTTCCTAATAGGCATGCGATGATTTTTGTTCCCTTTTTGGCGGTTGACAATCACAAAGCTTCGGTTGTCGTCGGATCGGCGTTAATAAGTGGTGAGACAATWGAAAACTTTACATGGGTTCTAAGAGCTTTCCTAAAATGYCATGAGAAGCAACCGGTTTTTGTGATTACGGATCAATGTTCGGCGATGAAGCAAGCCGTCCCGTTGGTGTTTACGGAAGCTAAGCACCGACTATGTATGTGGCACATCATGAAGAAAGTGCCTTCTAAGGTAARTACACTTTAATTAACAAACTCTATTTCATAAGTAAATGTCATCGTTCATATGTTCATTTYGTGATTGATACGCCTGCAGGTCAGTGTCGCCCTAAATCAAGATCMTCGGTTCAATAAGGTTATTAACAAGCTCGTGTGGAACATAGATATTGGCCCATCGGAATTCGAGACCAAGTGGCAAGAGATGATCGAGCAATACAATTTAGGTGGTGATCCGTGGTTCACAGAAATGTATGAAATACGTGCATCATGGATTCCGGCCTATTATAAGGACACACCGATGTCTGGTCTTATGAAAACGACATCAAGATCCGAGAGTTCGAATTCGTATATTAACATATACGAATCATATTGGTTTGATTTGGTTYAGTTTCTTAATAATTATGACGTTGCYATAGAGAAACAAAGGTACAAGCAAGCGGTGCATGAAACAATAACGAGGACAACATATCCAAAGTTGGTTACTCCATTGCGCTTAGAAAGACAAGCAGCAAGGGTATACAGTCGAAATGTGTTCGTTGACATCCAAAAGGAATTAAAGAAGGCTGTATGGTTTTGTGGTATAGAGAATGTCGAATGTCGGGGCGATATCAAAACGTTCATTATAAGCCACAAGAACAAGATGAAGTTTGTCAACACCACGTATTTGGTACTATATTCCTTACATATATACTAATGTCTTTTACATTCTTCGGTTAGTACACGTTGTTGTTTATTCGGAACCTAATGTAACTATTTTAGGTCTCCCGAAACTACCCAGCTAACACGGTCGAATGCGAGTGCAATCTATTCAAGCGTAACGGTTATCTGTGTCGTCATGCATTTAAGGTTCTAATAAACGACGAAGTTGAAAGTATTCCGGACCAATACGTTTTACGTCGATGGAAAMAAAATTTGGTCCCTGTCCAGATACAATCCGCTAGGGTTCGATATGGTGAGGTGGATGCAGAGAAGGATAAGTCCATAATTGATGTATACTCCAAAATCGACAACATYATAAGCATCGCCCGAAATGATAAGTCGATACTGAATAGATTGGAGCAGAATCTCGACAATTTCATGGTTGATATCGAGAAAGAGGTACCGTATGAAGACCCATCCCAACAAAAGTTGGACGCGATCAGAGATCACCTTGGTGTTTCCATACCGGATGACGTGGACATTCTACCACCATCTGGAATAAGGAATAAGGGTTGTGGTACTGGTAAAAGGTTGGTAAGCGTGTCTGAGAAAATACAGTCCGGTAGCAAGAAAACCCGTCGAAAATGTGCGACATGTGGCCAACGTACCGGACATGACTCACGCAATTGTCCYGAATTGATAGAGTAATCAGTTGTCCAGGTACTRGAAATATCATCGCTCCAGTGGTGCTTCGTKWTTGCCAATTTTACATTTCGTATCGTGTTCCGATTTCGGTTTATGTTATCTTATTAATGACATACATCGGGTACTTTTCGTTTTATTACTTTTTAACAAATGTCTTAGTCACTAGTTGTTATGTCCAAGACTAAATAATAAAACCACCGTAAGTGYGGTGTTCATAATTACCGACAATRTATGATTCATATGTTGACGTTTCTTGTATTCGGAGGGTCTTGTCAATAAAACTGTTGTCTTTGGGTTATCAAGCTTTTGATTTGTTACAAAAAATAAATGCCGAAGTTGATTCTGCTTGACAGTCTATTATTTGTATGATGTTCGTTCGACTTATTTATGYTAGTATGTGTGTTTGAAGTTATGATGTAGTGTTCAAGTAACGATGCCACTTACTGTTGATCGCTAACAATATTTGCCAAACATATGTCTACAACATTTAMTAATCTTAAKGTGAGAATACCATTTACACATTTTTTAAACAAAAATACCATGCTAGTAAATAACAACCAAACTACACATCAAGAAAAACAATGCCATTAAGATTTGTGTGTGTGTGATTASATCAAATGATATGCAACTTTTAGTTGTACACACGCTAAACARRTTCCCATTGATGTTCACTAATGTTTATCATTGGGTTTTGTTGATGCACAACAATAATTCAACTAATAATGTCATATTTTGAACATACTAATGAAATGTTAAGCATCATTCTAGTTCTTAATGTTTTACGCCACATACAGTTTAATGAATGTGGTACTACAATCATTAGTGTGAAACAGTGTCAGGCGAGGTGCATTGTCACGATAACGCATTATAAATTTGTTGATATCAAACCAGTGCAAAAATAAACCTCAAAAAAACGTTTGTTAATCAAATACGGAGAATGTATGAACACACATGACGTGCGTTTATGTCTGAAAACGTTACGCTACCACAAATATCCAAAAGATATTTGGTACGAAAAACCAACTAACATAAATGTGTCAAGACAAAATAATCAAACGTCTATTTCTTCCCCCGACTCATCAGTCGTGCACCACGATTTTTCCTAGCATCGTACGATGTCTCCATCGCAATGAACCTTTCTACATC